CACGCTTCACAGAAAGATCCTTAAATTTTTGCATGTCCAAAAAATATGAAGTAATTTTTCCACTTGGCCACAACCTCTCCAACAGAGAGGTGAGCCTCCCGGCATAAAAAGAGCTATACGGTACGGAGTAAGGTACCATCTAGATATAATCTTTTGCGTAATTTCCCAATAATTGACACAATGGGAGATAGCATATGAGTATTTAAATGCATGAAGCCACTGCTTCAGTGTATATGATTGTTGAAGATCTGTCTCCCACGCCATGATGGGGGCAGTTTTGCAAAATGACATTTTAATTTTGAAACAAGTTATAGAAGAAAGCAATACCTTTGGTGGACTGAGATAGATTGTTGGAAAATTGCCATATTTTGGAGTCTAATTGGATGGCAGGAGGGGGTGAAGCCAGTAGGAAATGTTGGATACTAAATCGTTTAAAAAGTACCGACAATGGAAAATTATGATCCTTTTGTAGGACTCTTAAATTTTTAAGTTTGTTGTCATTATAGAAATCTTTCACATTGCTTATTGCATATTGAGACAAATTGGTGGGTGATAGATGAGGAAGAAATACATTAAGATCATCAATGGGCACAGAAATATCAGCAAATGATAGGGTTAATTTCCTATATTTAACAATAAGTCTCCAAGCCAATAGCGAGACTTTAACAGTAATAGGCATCGTATCTAATGGTAGTGGAGACCAAGTGTCAGCTATTAGAAGAAGCCGTAAATTATGAGTCAGCACGGTTACTGCTTCTATATCTACCCATAAATTTTTCGGTGTAGGGAGAAACCAATGTTTAAGCTGATCCAGTATAGTGGCTGTGTAATAATCTTTAATGTCGACAAACCATATACCTCCTACTGATTTATGTTTTATTAATTGGATATACGAGCATCTAGCTCTCCTCTGCTTCCAAAGGTATTTTCTAAAAATGGACATCAGAGAGGTTATATAAGATGCTTTGAGGGGGATGGGAAGTAATATATAACTTGTGGTATGACTAACATTTTAAAGGCTGATAGCCTGCCAGCCCATGATAGCTCAAAGCTTGATATGTGTTGAAGTTTGATGCCTATTTTAGTTGCAAGGGGCTTAAAGTTAGCCTCTGCTAGATTAGCAATGGAAGATATTAAGGTAATGCCTAAAGTATGGTAGTCCACTGGAAGTCCAAATGTAAGGGAAAGCTTTTTCCATGGCTGATTGGGCCATGGTGGGAATACCCAGGTTCAAAATAAGGGATTTGGAAAAATGTACTTTATAATAAGAGACAGCGCTGAACTGTGAGAGAATGAAGTGTACAGTACTTGAGATAATGACTCAGAAGGATTCGTCAACAAAAGTGTCACATTGTTGATAACGTGAGACCTATTATGAAAATGGAAGCCTGTGATGGAAGAGTTCATTCTGATGGTCTCAGCCAGTGGTTCAATCATTAGATTGAAAATGAGCGGTGACAGCGGGCAACCCTGCCTTATGCCATTGATGATATGGAAAGTTTTAGATAGTAAACTAGAGGTGTATACCTGAGCTGAGGGAGAAGAGTATAATGCCAATATGGCTGAGTATTGGACCTTGGAAACAAAACTTTTTCAGAACGTTTGTCATGTAACCCCACTGAACTCTATCGAACACCTTCTCTGCATCAATAAATAGGAGCACAGAAGGCATTCAAGTGTGCTTAGCATAATCTTTAAATTATAATTATATGTCTTGTTGTGTCCGACGCTTGGCGTCCCTTAGTGAAGTCGGTTTGATCAGGCTGGACCAGAAAAGGCATTATATTCATGAGCCGAAGTGCCAATCATTTGGCATAAATTTTGATGTCTGAGTTCAACAATTAAATCGGTCTAAACTGAGGGTGTGTCAGGGTCCTTCCCAGGCTTAGGGAGTGCAATGATATGCGCTTTAAGCACTTCTTGTGGAAATGAGGCTTCCTCTTGTGCAGCAGTGAACAGACTAACAAGATGAGGAGTTATGAACTGAAGGTTTTATAATACTCATTAGTGAACCCATCTGGGCCAGATTTCCCTGAGGGCAAAGTTTTAATAACCTGAGAGATTTCAGCTGAGCAAACTTTTCTATTTCAGATTTAGAGTAGTTGTGGTTGTGGAGTAGTCTGACCATTTTATAACTTATAGAGGCTGCCATAATAATCAGCGAATGTGTCGGCAATATGTTGGGGATTTAGTAATTTCTGAGAAGTGGTGGTATTAAATATAAATGGGATTTTAGTCTTAGTTCTTTGTGCTTTGAGTCTGTTGGCCAAAAACATTCCAGCTTTGTTGTGTGAGTAGTATTGAAGTTTTAAGAAGCAAAGACATTTGTCATGTTGGACCTGCAGGAGTTCCCTAAGTTCCGTTCGTTTGTTTATGCAAAGAAGCAGAGGTAGTCGGGTTGGATTGTATTTTATGTTGAGTTTCTAAGACATGGATATTATTTAAGAGAGTATTAAATTTTGAATTGTGTAGGTGTTTGGTATGTGCACAAAGCTTCAAAATCATGCCTCACATGTATGTTTTGTGGGCATTCCAAAGTGTAAATGCGGTAACATTCTTAGTGGTGTTAGAAGAGGAGTAATCTAGAATGTGTTTGGACAATAAAGCCTTGTTTTTAAGATCTTGAATAATGCTATTGTTGCAACGCCACAATATTGTGGGTGTGCAAGTATCCTTCTCCACTAGAGTTGTAACCAATGCAGTGTGGTCTGACCACATAATGGTTGATAGAGTAGAGGAGGATACCTGCTGTAACAGCCACTTATCAACTATACATAAATCCATCCATGCCTATGATTGAAGATGTAAAGAAAAATAAGAATAGTCTCTCTTGTTGAGTTATAGACACCTTCATTATGGACGATGGATTATAAATGAGGCACTCTGCCTTTATCTCTAGAGGACAGGTCTAATTGAGGATTTACTGTGAGATTGAAATCATCACACATTAGCAAGTTGCCATATTTTTCAGTGGAGATTTTTCGGAACATTTTGCGAATAACTCTTAGCTGGTGAACATTAGGAGCATAAATATTAGCTAGGGAATAAGGCTTGTTGTTTATGTCGCATCTCAGGATAATAAAGCGACCATCTGGGTCTATAGTAGATGAGTGCAATGTGAAGGCCATTGAGTTCCTGATGGCTAGCATCACTCCTTTTTTTAATGTAAAAGTAGATGTATATATGTGGGGGAAGTCCTTGTGCTGGCACTTGGGAATGGCTCCGGTTTGGAAGTGCTTCTCTTGGACGGCTAAGATATCAGCATGGTGTAATTTAGTCTCTTTCCAGGCAAAAAATGTTTTGGCAGGTGGTTGAGACCTTGGGCATTGATAGAAACTATTTTAATCATCATTGTAGCGAGAGAAACAAGGAACTAAAAACAGACTTACTCGGATGCTTGGCAGATGTAGCCTCAGTAGGTGGAAAATTTGTATTGCGGTCCAAGTCCTATCCCAGGATGAAGTCATCTGGTTACAGGAGGTATCCATGAAATACTTAACTGTCGAATGCCTAAAAAATAAGGCTAAAACAAAAAAGCAGAGACAAAAAACAGATACTTGAAAACAAGAATCTAAAATATGCCTAGATGATATCAGCATAAGTTGAGGTGAAGAAACATGAGAAAATAAAAAAGGTTTTCTAACAGAACTATGCACAGACAAGCTGCAACTCTTACGGGGGTAGGAAAAAATGTAGCTGTTGGTATAACTCCTGTGGCCGGGACTGTTATATTTTCATAATGAGGTCAAGTAGTGACTTGATGCTTAGTGTTAGGGATCCGGGTATGACCAGAAATGTGTGGACTGACACAGGGAAATGCAGACTTCAGGTAGTGTGAATAAGACAATTTATTAAGACTAAACAAAACATAGACGCAGTGCAAGACTAAAAAACAACACAGTGCAAACAAACCAACCCAAACCTCCAACAGATAACAATAGAAACAGTACTAAGCGTAGTCGGGCAGGCTGGGTCGGTAGCAAACGGGCAGGCAGGGCACAAGGAGCAGGCGGAAGAGTAGTCAGGAATAGCCGAGGTCAGGACAGGCGGAGTTCATGCAGAGTCAGGGATCGAAGCAGAATCTGGATCAGGCAGAAAGCAGACAGGATGCAGGTACAGGGGCCCATGGGAAACATACACCAAGGCCCTGATCACAGGCCTGGCCATACCTTAAATACACGTGTTGTAATCAGCTTCAGGTGATGGCTCATTGCAGGAGTGAGTCTCTGGTTGCTGAGAGCACCCGCTGGCCAGCCCTGGTACTGCAGCCCACAAGGCAGGTGAGTCCCACCACCACTGGCAAGTCCATTCCTCACAGTACCCCCCCCTCAAGGAGCGGCCTCAGGACGCTCCAAATAGTCCGTAATGGCCCAAATGTTCCACCGCCTGGGTCCGGCAACTGGCTAGACATCCCACTGCCGGAATCAAGCAATTGGCTGGGTCTCCTGCTGATAGGCCTATCTTTTTGTTGGAGACTGCAGGAAGGCAGATTGCTGGACACAGGTTTTCCAGAAGCAGGCTGGGCATCAGGAGCTGGTACGTCAGGCAGGACAGCAGGCAGAGGCACATCAGGTGGGACAGCAGGCAGAGGCACGTCAGGCGGGACAGCAGGCAGAGGCACGTCAGGCGGGACAGCAGGCAGAGGCACGTCAGGCAGGACAGCAGGCAGAGGCACGTCAGGCGGGACAGCAGGGCAAGAGGCACGAGGCACGTCAGGCTGGGCAGCACGCAGAGGCATGTTAGGCTGGGCAGCAGGCAGAGGCACGTCAGGCTGGGCAGGCTGGGCAGCAGGCAGAGGCACGTCAGGCTGGGCAGCAGGCAAGGCAGTGGGCACCGGGCCAGCAGGCGGAGCAGCGGGCACCGGGCCATCAGGCGGAGCAGCAAGCAAGGCAGCAGGCACCGGGCCATCAGGCGGAGCAGCGGGTACCGGGCCATCAGGCGGAGCAGCGGGCACTGGGCCATCAGGCGGAGCAGCAGGCACCAGGCCATCAGGCGAAGCAGCAGGCAAGGCAGCGGGCACCGGGCCATCAGGCGGAGCAGCGGGTACCGGGCCATCAGGCGGAGCAGCGGGTACCAGGCCATCAGGCGGAGCAGCGGGCACCGGGCCATCAGGCGGAGCAGCGGGTACCGGGCCATCAGGCAAAGCAGCAGGGCAAGGCGGAGCGGGGCACTGGGCCATCAGGCGGAGTAGCGGGCAGGCAGGCACTGGGCCATCAGGCGGAGTAGCGGGCACCGGGCCATCAGGCAGAGCAGCGGGCACCGGGTCACCAGGCGGAGCAGCAGGCAAAGCAGCGGGCACCGGGCCATCAGGCGGAGCAGCGGGCACCGGCCATCAGGCGGAGCAGCAGGCATCGGGCCATCAGGCGGAGCAGCAGGCACTGAGTCATCTGGCAGAGCAGCAGGCACCGGGCCATCAGGTGGAGCAGCAGGCAAGGCAGCGGGTACCGGGCCATCAGGCGAAGCAGCGGACACTGGGCCATCAGGCGGAGCAGCGGGCACTGGGTCACCAAGCTCGACAGTGGGAACCGAGTCATCTGGCAGGACAGCGGGTACCGAGTGATCTGGCAGAACCGGGGCACTGGGTCACCAAGCTCGACAGCGGGCACCAAGTCATCTGGCACGACAGCGGGCACCGAGTCATCTGGCATGACAGTGGGCACCGAGTCATCTGGCACGACAGCGGGCAATGAGCCATCTGGCACGACAGCGGGCACTGAGCCATCTAGCAGAACCGCGGGCACTGGGGCACCAAGCTCAACAGCGGGCACCGAGTCATCTGGCATGACAGCGGGCACTGAGTCATCTGGCGCGACAGCGTGCACCGAGTCATCTGGCACAACAGCGGGCAGCGAGCCATCTGGCACGACAGCGGGCACCGAGCCATCTGGCAGAACCGCGGGCACTGGGTCACCAAGCTCGACAGCAGGCACCGAGTCATCTGGCACGACAGCGGGCACCGAATCATCCGGCAAGACAGGAGGCACTGAATCATCTGGCAAGACCGTGGGCACCGAGTCATCTGGCAAGACAGTGGGCACCGAGTCATCTGGCACGACAGTGGGCACCGAGTCATCTGGCATTGGATCATCTGGCTCGACAGCTGGCACTGGGTCATCTGGCATCGGGTCATCTGGCTCGACAGGGGGCACCGGGTCATCTGGCTCGACAGCGGGCTCGGGTCATCTGGCATCAGGTCCTCTCTCTCGACAGCGGGTACCGGGTCATCTGGCTCGACAGCGTGTACCGGGTCATCTGGCATTGGATCGTCTGGCTCGACAGCGGGCACCGAGTCATCTGGCATAATAGGACCATCAGGCTGGGTAGACACATCAAGCTGGGTAGGGTATACTGGGTCATCGGGCATCAGGGTATCAGGCTGAACCACGAAAGGCGGGTTCTCAGACGACAGGCTGACTGGTTTGGATACTGGCAGGATGGTATTGGTTGGAAAGAATTTTCGCTTTTTCCTGGTTTTAGTTACTGGAGCGCAGGAAGTAAGCGCAGGTTTGTAAGTGGATAGAGCAGCTGTAGGCAGAGAAGAGCTGAGGGATGGAACAAAGGAGGGAGCAGTTGCTACAGAGGACTTCTTTACAGGGTTAAAGATAGGATAGGTGCAGCGAGTGGGAGCAGGGGACTGATATGTGGTAGTTAGCAGAGTATACTGGGCTGTCACTGGGGGTGCTGTCGGGATGCAGGAAGAGTGCCTTGAGCAGAGGAATGACGTTGCAAGCTGCCTGAGGCTGGGTGCAACAAGTCTGACCATGTCTGCAGTATGGGTTGAACAAAGCTCAGCTTACACAAAGCCTGTCTGGTCAAAGACTGCACTGCGTTTATACAATCTCTTAGCACCTGTTGTGAACATGCAGAATAACAGTCCAAGAAGTAATCCACATCATCCTCCAATAACCACACCAGGGACTCTACCTGGTCAGCACTAAATGGCGGCAAAAATTCATCCTTGCATTCGGGGGTACCAGATGAAGCCAACTCTGCACAAACCTGAATCAATGGTTGCACCTCAGAGAACTCTGTGCCCTGATCTACTAGAACATGAGCGAGCCGTATACATTCTAGCAGTTCATCCCGGGGATACTCCTTCAGAATCTGATAAGCATAGTCTTTGTCATCAAACACTAGCAGAGACAAATATATCACCTCATCAAGATGCATCCTTCCCAACAACGATAAGCCAAGATGGCTTCCCTATGCAGCCACTTCTGGTCAGGAATGGCCTTGGTGTTCAACAACACAGTGCAAACAAACCAACCCAAACCTCCAACAGAAAACAATAGAAACAGTACTAAGCGTAGTCGGGCAGGCCGGGTCGGTAGCAAACGGCAGGCAGGGCACAAGGAGCAGGCGGAAGAGTAGTCAGAAATAGCCGAGGTCAGGACAGGCGGAGTTCATGCAGAGTCAGGGATCGAAGCAGAATCTGGATCAGGCAGAAAGCAGACAGGATGCAGGTACAGGGGCCCATGGGAAACATACACCAAGGCCCTGATCACAGGCCTGGCCATTCCTTAAATACACCTGTTGTAATCAGCTTCAGGTGATGGCTCATTGCAGGAGTGAGCCTCTGGTTGCTGAGAGCACCCACTGGCCAGCCCTGGTACTGCAGCCCACAAGGCAGGTGAGTCCCACCACCACTGGCAAGTCCATTCCTTACACTTAGTGTGTCCCTTTGAATGCTGCTTGTGCATTTCTTTGTAGGAGACTACTTGCCAGTCTTCAGCCAATAGTGTAGGGGCTGCGTGCAGGGGCGGAGTGCATGAGGGATCTGGTAGAATATCCCATGTGCATAGTAAGTGGAAGCCTTCTTCCAGAGATGTGATGAGCGTAGTAGTGCCCTTGTGTGTGATAAACAATTTGGCTGGATACTTCCATTTGTAACCAATTAAATTAATTCTCAGGGCTTTGGTGGTAGTGTTCAGATTTTTATGCTGGTGTAGTGTATGTGTGGATAAATCTGGGAGTACTTGCAGGTGACTTGCATTATCAGGGAGATGTTCTTTTTTATGGAATGCCTCTAGAATTTTGTATTTGGCTTGATAGAAGCGAATTCTCAGTAGGACATCTCTCGGAACATGTGCAGGAAGGATTGATGGTTTAGGAATGCTGCGTACTCTATCTATTGTTAAATCAGCAGGCGATAGCATTGGCACTGCAGTTTGGAAGAGGTCACGGACATAGTAAGGCAGTTGGGATGCCTGGACGCTTTCTGGTATGCCACGTATTTTCAAGTTATTATGCTTTGACCTGTTTTCCACATCAGTGAGCTTGTTTTTAATGCAAGCCAATTCGTCTGAGCTTAAATGAGAAAAATTCCCACATCGGTTATATATCTACCAGGTTTCGGAGAAAAAAAATGACAGAGTGACCCATTTAATAGCATGCAGCAACAGCCCTGAAGAAGGAAGAGTCGTTTCTCCCGAAATGTGTTGGCTTGATGTACTTGTCGTTACTCTCAATAAATGCCTCCTAATATACCATCAAAAGTGCATTCTTTTGGACATCGGGCGCTCCTTCTTTTATACTATTCCAAGCATACATGTGGAAACGACCTCAAGGCCATACCAGAAAGGCAGCAGCCCAAACCCTAGGAGGGCTTACTGCCAATAACCACCATTGGGTACAACTGACTGCTCCCTACCCATCCATGCAACCACCCACCTATGACCAGCGACTGATCCAGTCAGTTCAGTGCAATGTTCAACTCCTGATGTACACAGGACGATCTTTGTCACACTGACTTATGAAGGTCAGTGCTCCCTGTGACAGACTTGTGCTGCCATCTGTTGGCGTGTTACAAAACTAGTCTCAAAACGTTTTGATACCACCTCGTATCTTTAAGAAATGTTTTGGTTTATATATACTTTAGCCTGACTTTACACCATGATGTGGTCATATAGACAATCACAAAGGTGTATTTTGCCAAGACCTTTAATATGACCTGTACCTGTACCTTGTTGCTTTTTTCTTTAAATTTGACTGTAATATACAGTAGCTTATGTAACACAGACTAGCCATTTATTATATTGCAGTCAGAACTATGAACACAATCTTTTTGTTTATATAGAAACAGTCCATGGGAAAACACAATCTTGGGTAAAAAATACAGAGAAAATGCATTAAAAGAAAAGTTACATTCAAACTTCATTGGAGATTCAGTCCAGCATATTGTTGGTAAGTGCAATGCCGATGACATTTTTATAAGGCTTGATCTATATTAAATTTATGACATTTTTACTGTAGTACCGACCGCCATAAATAAAATATTAGCAGTCACAGTGCTTCTTAAAGGCAGCTTTTGATTTGTTCCCATAGAAAACCGTTCATTAAACTTGCAAGAAAACTTGAAATATGATGTAAAATACTGCCTACAGATTTGAACACAGTCCAATGAAAAGTAAGCAGATGATACAACAAACTTTTTGAACATAGATGTAAATGTAACACATTTTTAATTATATATTTTGAAGAGCGGAAAGCTCATAAGCATCTGACAATAAGACATAGTCTCTAAATTTGTATCTACAGTGGAGGAACCTTTAGAGGTGATCTGTAGTTACCCCACTGAAGTTATATTTAAATTTCGAATACCGCCAGTTATATTGTGCAATGTATGTATTATCTGTAAAATCCAGTTTGAAATCAGTTGCGTTTTTGTCTATTGACTGGGTATGTAGGGCAACTTGGGAATGTCTGTATCCACAGTGTTAATCAGCCCCTGTGTGCTTATCAACAGTAACATTGTATTTATATACCATGTAGTAGGAGTAGGTGAGTGGGCCGACTTGGCGGGAGTTAATTATTGGACAGAAACAAAGGCAGTAAAAGGTAAATAATTAACACAGGAATTCATTTTCAAAGAAATAAAGTTAAGTGACCTTACATGGCATTTTCTAGATGGCTACAGTTTAGCATTAAAGAATATCTAAACCCAAATCAAAAATGTAATATAATGCAGCTTACTATTCCTTGGTGTGGTGGCTGCATTTTTTTTTTTCTTTCTTCAAGCTTCTTTTGCTTTATTTCCACCAGGTATTACTGCAAATAACACACTTCCTGTCCCCGGGAGGCTACGTCATTTCTCTACTGTATTTATGAAGGGAACCAAATGCAGAATGAGCAAACAGTGTGGCCAGGCAGTGGGCAAAGTGAATAGAATTCTAGGATGCATCACTAGAGAGGTCACCAGCAGGAGGAAAGAGGTTCTGATTCCCCTATATAGATCTTTAGTTAGACCTCATTTAGAATACTGTGTCCAGTTCTGGAGACCTCACTTACAAAAAGATATTGATAAGATAGAACGAGCCCAGAGATGGGTATCAAAAATGGTGAAAGGTCTGGGGGATAAAACATATCAAGAGTGACTTCAGGAATTTAACATGTACAGTCCAGAGGAAAGAAGGGAAAGGGGAGACATGAATGAAACCTTTAAATACATCAAGAGGGTGAATAAGTTTCAGGAGGGCAGCATTTTCAACACGAAACCAAAATCAAGAACATGGGGGCATGACCTTTAACTGGAGGAAAGCTCAAAACTAATCTCAGAAAGTACTATTTTACTGAAAGAGTAGTTGATGCTTGGAATAAACTTCCAGCAGAGGTAGTGAGCCAGTCAACAGTAAACAGCTTCAAACATGCTTGGGACAAGCACAGATCTAAACTCAGACAAAAGAAAGTTAACAAAAACAAAAAACAAAACA